AAAAGCTATATACAAACCAATAGTCAACATCAAACTAAATGGACAGAATCTCCACCCGATTCCTCTCAAATCAGGAACAAGACAAGGCTGTCCACTCTCTCCATACCTTTTCAATATTGTCCTTGAAGATCTAGCTAGAGCAATACAACGACAAAAGGACATCAATGAGATACAAACTCCTACGGCTGATAAATAACTTCAGCAAAGTGGCAGGATACAAGATCAACTCAAGAAAATCTGTAGCTCTACCATATACATAGGATAAAAGGGCTGAGAAAAAAAAAATCAGAGAAGCATCGCCCTTTAGCCACAAACAACATACAATATCTTGGGGGTAACACTAACCAAACACGTGAAAGACCTATATTGCAAGAACTTTGAGTCTTTAAAGAAAGAAAGTAAAGAAGATACCAGAATATGGAAAGATCTCCCATGCTCTTGGATAGGTAGGATCAACGAAGTAAAAATGGCAATCCTGCCAAAAGCAATCTACAGATTCAATGCAATCCCCATTAAAATACCAGAACAATTCTTCACAGACCTTGAAAGAACAATAATCACCTTTGTATGGAAAAACAAAAGACCCAGGGTAGCCAAAACAATCCTATTCAACAAAGCCACATGGAGTCATCATCATCCCTGATTTCAAGCTCTATTATAGAGCTATAGTACTGAAAAAAGCTTGGTATCCGCACAAAAATAGACAGGTAGACCAAGGGAATCGAATTGAACACCCTGATATTAACCCAGACATGTATGAACATCTGATCTTTGACAAAGAAGTTAAAAATATACAATGGAAAAAAGAAAGCATCTTCAACAAATGGTACTGCTATAACTGGATGCTGGCATGTAGAACAATGCAGAAAGATCCATGTCTATCACCATGCACAAAACTTAAGTCCAAATGGATCAAAGACCTCAACATAAATCCAGCCACACTGAACCTCTTAGAAGAGAAAGTGGGTGGTACCCTTGAACGAATTGGTACAGGAGACAGCTTCCTGAACATAACACCAGTAACACAGACACTGAGATCAACAATTAATAAATGGGACCTCCTGAAACTAAGAAGCTTCTGTAAGGCAAAGGACACAGTCAGCAAGACAAAAAGGCGCCCCACACAATGGGAAAAGATATTCACTAACCCAACATCTGACAGAGGGCGGATCTCCAAAATTTACAAAGAACTCAAGAAAGCTAGTCTCCAAAACACTAAAGGATCCAATTAAAAAGTGGGGTGCAGAACTAAATAGAGAATTCTCAATGGAGGAGTTTAAAATGGCTGAGAGGCACTTGAGAAAGTGCTCAGTATCCCCAGCCATCAGGGAAATGCAAATCAAAACAACTCTGAGATACCATCTCACTCCTGTGAGAATGGCTAAAATCAAAAACACCAACGACAGCTTATGCTGGCATTGGTGTGGAGAAAGGGGAACACTCCTCCACTGCTGGTGGGAGTGCCAACTTGTACATCCATTTTGTAAATCAGTATGGAGATTCCTCAGAAAAATGGGAATCAGCCGGGCATCGGTGGTACATGCCTTTAATCCCAGCACTCGGGAGGCAGAGGCAGGCGGATCTCTGTAAGTTCGAGACCAGCCTGGACTACCAAGGGAGTTCCAGGACAGCCTCCAAAGCCACAGAGAAACCCTGCCTCGTAAAACCAAAAAGAAAAAGAAAAAAAGAAAAGAAAAGAAAAATGGGAATCAGCCTACCACAAGACCCAGCAATACCACTCTTAGGCATATATCCAAAAGATGCCCATTCATACAAGGGCATCTGTTCCACTATGTAATAGCCAGAACCTGGAAGCAACCTAGATGCCCCTCTACTGAACAGTGGATAGAAAAAATGTGGTACATTTACACACTGGACACCTGGAATTTGCAGGCAAATGGATGGCACTAGAAGAAACCATCCTGAGTGAGGTAACCCAGTCACAAAAAGACAAACATGGTATGTACTCACTCATATATGGATTTTAGACATGAATCAGAAGAGTAACAACCTACAATCCCACTGCCAGAGTCTACATAACAGAAACAGAACCTTCAAGGAATGACTGATGGAAGCAGAGGCAGACAGCCACAGCTAAACACTGAGCTCAAGGAACCCAGAGACAGAGAGGGTGGACTGATGAGCCTAGGGGTCAAGACTGGGCTTGTTTAACCCACAGAAACAGCTAACCTAAACAAGGGGGAGCTCTTGAACTCTAGAATGATGGCTGGTAATCCAGCATGGGACTATTCAAAACCCCCTGAATGTGCGTGTCAGTGAGGAGGCCTAGGCAATCTATGGGGCCTTGGGTAGTAGATCAGTACTTAACCCTGGCATAAAATGGACTTTGGGTGCCCATCCTACAATGAGAGATGCACTCTCACCCTGGACTCTCGGGAAAGGGTCTAGGCCCTGCCCCAGATGAAATGACAGACTATGGACACCCCTCATGCAGGGCCTCACCCTCCCTGGGGAAAGCAGTGAGGATTGGGGGAGAGGGTGGGAGTTGGTGGAAGTGCATGGGAGGAGGGGAGGGAAAGGGTGAGGGACCTGGGATTGACATGTGAAGCATCCTTGTTTCCAATTTGAATTGAAAAAGAAAAAAATCAAAAGAAAAAACAGGGTAAATCCACACACAATACCACCACCACCAAATCCAAAACAAACAAGAAATAACAATCAGTGGTCCCTCAATATTAATGGTCTGAACTCACCAATAAAAAAACACAGGCTAAGAGTATCGATAAAGCAGAAGTCATCCTTTTCCTGCATTCAAGAAACATACCTCAACTTGAAAGAGAGATGATAGCTCAAAAAGTAAAGGGTTGGGAAAAGATTTTACAATCAAACGGACCCAAGAAACAAGCTGGTGCAGCTATCCTACTATCTAACACATTAGACTTCACACTAAAAATCAAAAGAGATGAAGAAGGTCATTTCATATTCAGAGGAAAAATCCATCAGGATGAAGTCACAATTCCAAACATCTGTGCCCAAAATAAAAGAAACCCACTTTCATAAAAGAAATACTACTAAAATCACACAAAAGACCTCACAGTTATAGTGGGAGACTCAACACCCCACTCTCACCACTAAACCACTAGACAGAAACTCAACAAAAAAACAAAGGAACTAACAGAAGTTATGACCCAATTGGGTTTGACAAACATCTATAGAACATTCCACCCAAACATAAAAGAATATACCTTCTTCTCAGCGCCACATGGAACCTTCCCAAAAACTGACCATATACTTGGAATAATATCAACCCTTAACAGGTACAAAAACAAAAATTGGAATAACTCCATGCATCTTATGAGACCACCATGTGTTAAAATTTGAATTCAACAACACAGATTGCAGAAACCCTACAAATTCACGGAAATTGAATAATGCTCAATTGCACCACTCCTGGGTCAAGGAAGAAATAAAGAAAGAAATGAAAGACTTCCTAGAATTAAGTGAGAATGTAGAAACAACATACCCAAACTCATGGGACACTTTGAAAACAGTCCTAAAAGGAAAGTTCATAACTGTCCACATCAAAGAACAGGAGCACAGTCACACTAGAGCATTAACAGCACACTGGAAAGCTCTAGAACAAAAAGAAGCAAACTTACCCAGGAGGAGTAGACCCCAGGAAATAATCAATTGGAGAGCTGAAATAAATGTAGTAGAAACAAACAAAACAATACAAAGAATTGATGTAACAAAGAGTTAGTTCTTCCAGAAAAATCAACAAAATAGACAAAACTTTATCCAAACTAACCAAAAGGCAGAGAACAGAAAAATTAACAAAATCAGAAATGAAAAGGGGGACATAAGAATGGACAATGACAAAATCCAGAGAATCTTCAGGTCATAATTTGAAAACCTGTACTGCACAAAATTTGAAAATTTAAAGGATGGACTATTTTCTGAATAGATATAACTTATCAAAATTAAAAAAAGAACACATAAGCAACTTAAACAGACCTGTTATCCCTTATGAAACAGAAGCAGTCATCAAAAGTCCCCAAACCAAAAAAGTCTAGGGCCAGATGGTTTCAGTGCAGAATTCTACCAGAAATTCAAAGAGCTAATACCAATACTCCTCAAATTGCTCCACACTATAGAAGCAGAAGGTTCATTGTCAAATTCTTTTCATGAGGCTACAATTACCTTGGCACTGAAACTACACAAAGACACAACTAAGAAAGAGAACCACACACCAATATCCCTCATGAACATTGATGGAAAAATACTGAATAAGATACTGGCAATCAAATTCAAGAACACATCAGAAAAATCATCCACCATGATCAATCAAGTATGCATCATCCCTGGTTCAAAACATATTAAAATCAATCAATATAATCAACCATATAAACAAACTGCATAAGAAAAATATCACATGATCATCTCACTAGATGTTGAAAAAGTCATTGACAAAATCCAATATCCCTACATAATAAAGGTTTTGGAGAAATCAGGAATAACAGGAACATACCTAAACATATTAAAAGCAATATACTGTAAACCAACATCCAACATCAAACTAAATGGAGAGAAACTCAATGCAATTCCTCTAAAATCAGGAATAAGACAAGGCTGTCCACGGTGCTCCATATCTCTTAAACATTGTACTCGAAGTTCTAGACAGACCAGTAAGACAACAGAAGGAGTTCAAGGGGATGCAATTTGGAAAGGAAGAAGTCAAATTTTTACTATTTGCTGATGATATGATTGTTTATATAAGTGACCCAAAAAAACTCTACCAGGGAACTCCTACAACCGATAAACATCTTCAGCAAAGTGGCAGGATACAAGATTAACTAAAAAAAATCAGTATAAAAAGGACGAGAGTATATGTATATTTATGTTTCTCCTCTGCAGGGAATTCTCGTGGACCAAAAAGAAGCACAGTCTGCCTTGTAATTTATCAGTCTCAGCAACTGTGGTCGCTCATCAAGAGAGCTCCTCCTGCTCTGTGAAGGTAAAGACACTGAACACACACTCACCAAGACATTGACTGTGGTCTCCCTCACAGCTTCCTGCAGGTGCATCAGAGGAGATCCCTAAAAAGAATGTGCATGTTACCTTCCATTGGTGCTCCTGATTGCTAAGCCTTCCCTGAGTGCCACAGCAAACAGGGCAAAGCCATCTGGGTCTCAGGACATCAGCATCTGCCCTACTGAATGATCAGATATCAAGTGACTAGAGCCTAGGTCTTCCCAGTAAATGCCATCCAACCCAGCAGACAGAGCCCTAGTCTGGGGCATAGTATTTTACTAGAAATTCTTGTAATCCCCACAGCACTTCCTGCTCCTCTTCCAAGGCACAGGGTCCTTTGTGGACACATTTCTTTACACACTCAGGGTCCAGCATTGTCAACCCATTGTTCCAGAGCTGTGAAGTCTTGCAGACAGATGTTGCATTCCAACAGCAACTGTGGTCATCGTTCAAATGATGTTAAAGGAGTGGGGCAGGAGAGGGAACACAATGACAAGTCATGGTAGGGGTTGGAGGCAGGATAGAGACTGTGTACATGATTTAGTTAGAATCTCCAAGAATTGTTTCCAGAAGTTAAAACAGGCTTCATGGTAATGGACTACAGAGACTAGGGGTTTGTATGAGATCATAGCGAGGATTATCATACCATTTCTATCTGCCAGAATATCTTAAGCCAGGAAAATAACAGTTTGTTAGACACAGTCACACATTTTACCCTCCTCTTTTGGTTGAACTGCAGGAATTTGGTTTGAGAATCTTGATTTTTTGGTGTGGACCCCAAGAAATGGTCAGTCAGAATATTCATTTATTGATCATCTAAAATGTATTACAAAATTCACACTGCTAATATCATCATCAAAGCAAAAACAGCCCTCATCTTGCTGGCTGCCCTTCCCTTTCTGCACTGTCCCTACACTAGGTTCAAGGTTGGGCAGTGAGCTCAGTACCTGCACACATCCCTCTTCATTGGTATGTTCCTAACAAAAGCCAGAGAACCTAGAGAACACTTATTCACTGGTCTCTTTTCCTCTTACTAACCACTCAAGCTCAGCCCTGGAAGAAGTAGCAGGACCATCTCCCCAGCCATGGGCAGCAGAGTCAGGATTACGGGTTCAAAGCAATTCTCTATTACACAGTGTGAAGTAAGCCGAAAACACATGAAACATTGCAATAAATAGAAATAAAACCCAACAACAATTGAGAGAAAGGAATCAAACTATGAATGGCGGATGCTGAGATCTGTTACCTGACACAGTTATGTGCAATGGCCTGTTTCTCAAACCTCTCACTTGACTTAACTGTGTCAAGCAGGACTGAACATATATGCATAGTAGAGTTCCTTAACTGTAAATGTCTGTGTTCAACGACAACCTGGTCTACAAGAGTTAGTTCCAGACAGCTTCCAAAGCTCCCAAGAAACCCTGTCTCGAAAAACAACAAAAATTTCATTCACTTATATACTTATTTATTTGGTTTTTGGTTTTTTGAGACAGTGTTTCTCTGTATTGTTTTGGAGCCTGTCCTGGAACGGGCAGATGCATCTCTGTGAGTTCGAGGTCAGCCTGGTCTACAGAGCAAGTTCCAGGACAGCCTCCAAAGCCACAGAGAAACCCTGTCTCGAAAAACCAAAAATAAAATGTAAAAAGGTCATTGACCACCAGGAGAGCAACAGAGTGTGATTATGTCCACCAAGGTCAACATAAGAGAAGTGCAGCAGTTCTAGAATTAACATGCTTTCCCAGGGGGAAATCACTCAAAATATTTAAGAGATAAATGAGCAAAACCCTCTACACTGATAGCAAGCATTAATTTCTCACTAATGCTCAAAGAGGAGAGAGTCTAGAAAAGAGTTTGTACTCCACACATGCTGTCATCCTTAATTCTCTCCTAGGTTAAGGCTTCAAGTAAAACCTTGAACAATTTAAATAGGGACAGGAGACTGCAATTGTAGCTACTTAAGCTGATGGGAGACATATACCAAAGATATTCCAAGAATTAGTACACCAGTGACCTGAGCGAGCAGGCCATTCTTCGGAGACACAGTGCTGAAGCACAAGGGCCAGGGGATGAGAGAGAGGAAAAGTAGAAGGTAAAAACAAATGAAAGCTGCATAGGGGAGGTCTCACACAATTTGTAAGGGCCACGTGGGACATCACAGAACAACTAATGTGGCCACAGTTTTGCACCCAGCCCTGGGAGGACTTCACACACCAGCTTTCAAGGCTCAGCAACTTCTTCCCTTCTGGGTCCCACAGCCCATGACTCACCTTGTCAGGTCTTCCCACCTCGGCCATGCTTCCTTCACAGCTCCCTGTGGCAGGGCTCACAGCTCACAAAACCTCTGGTCCTGCTCTGCTACAAAACCAGGTATTCAACATGGTTCCCGGAAGAGGCATGGACTCTCCTGACTGGCAGGTTGGTCTAGGGTTCATGATTGGCTAGTGAAGCCTGAGGGACAGCAGCACCTCCCCTAAGGTCACAATGTGTTCAAATGCACAGCACAGTGAGAAACCCTGGTCTGCAGAGATTTGCATTTGAACAGTGCTTGCCCCAGCTGCAATTTCTGGCCTAGCCACCTTGCATAACAAAGGCACTAGCGATTCTTCCTCAGGACACAAAGTGGCTAGTGTGCATAGTCCATTACACACTGTGGAGTGCAATTATTCCACTGCCTCAAAGGTGGAAGGGTGTCTAGAATATTACCAGTTAAGGAGAGAGTTTGGGGCCAGGTGGTGGTGGCGCTCGCCTTTAATGCCAGCAGAGGCAGAGCCAGGCAGATCTCTGTAAGTTCGAGGCTGGTCCCACAGCCTCCAAAACAATACAGAGTAAGCCTGTCTCGTAAAACCGTAAAACAAAAAAAAAAAAAAAAAAAAAAAAAAAAAAAAAAAAAAGAAGAGAGTTTGGGACACAAAAGGAGATGCATGTTATGTTACTTCACACTGAGGGCAGACAATCTTGAGGAAAGAGCAGGAACCAGATCAAAAACAAGATAATATCTTTCTCCAACTGGAAAGATGGTTCCGGTGGCTCCATTGGTTTAGAAGACTTATTCCTGACATTCAGGTGAATCTTGACAAATGAATAATAACAAAATAATTAGTCTTCAAGGTGAGATAAATAATCCCAGAGAAACGGAACAAGGAACAATGCACTGTGATCCATCACGTTTTCCTCAGTGGACAGGTGAAAAATCCAAAAACAAACAAGATAAAAAAACCACAGCAGTATTATTCAAGGTTCTCTACTGGAACGGAACTGATAGAATAAATCACAAGGAAGGCAGAAATTGGATTAAAATGTCTCACAAGCTGTGTCCAGCTAGCCCACCAATGGCTTTCTACCAATAGAAAGTTGAAGACTTCAGTAGTTGTTCAACCATAAGGTTGGATGGCTCAGCTGGTCTGCAATATATATCAGCAATCCTAAGAAGTAGACTTTAAAGAGAGTAAAGTACTGAGATTCACAGTCACAGCCTGGGCCATCAAGCAAAGAGAAAGAGCTTCCATCCTCAATATCCTTTATACGTGTGATCTGCCACCAGAAGGTCCGGCCAACATTAATGCAGGATCTTGTTACCTCAAAAGATCCAAATTAATGAAGAGTCTTCACATTCTAAACCTGTCATTAAGAAAAATCATCACAGATGTACACAATTCTTTGGCATTCAGTAAATTCGAGAGGTGGTCAGTTTGACTACCAAGAACAGCCATCAGAACAACCAAGACAGAAGACTTGAGAAAGATTTATCAGCAGGAGGCCTTGAGAGATGGGTATTCGTTTCCAAAGTTATTTTCATTTTCTATTTATTTATTTATTTATTTATTTATTTATTTATTTGGTTTTCAGAGACAGGGTTTCTCTGTATTGTTTTGGAGGCTGTCCTGGAACTTGCTCTGTAGACCAGGCTGGTCAGGAACTCACAGGGATCTGCCTGCCTCTGCCTTCCGAGTGCTGGGATTAAAGGTGTGTGCCACCAATGCCTGGCATTTCCAAAGTTCTTAAGCATGTAAGCATAGGGATTTTGCTCAGTGAGTCTAGACAAGTTCATATAAAGTTTTGCCAAAACATGCTCAGTTAACAAATGCAGTTCTGATTATGGTCACAACGTAAAGACAGAGATATATAGGGAATTCCTTACCTCACAGGCATGCAGGAAAAATACATAAGTTCTTAAAATTATATGAACAAGTGCCCATGGCATGTTCATCTTACACCACAGTGTCCTTGCTGAAAGTCCAGTCAATGACATTGTGAAAGCAGATTGCTTTGGATCCTATGATCTCTGTCAGTCATTACATATGATCTAAAAGACAGATGTATCAATGCCACAATTCTCACAAGTACAAAGGACAGAAAACATAAATTCAGAAAACATCAAGGAAAAGTCAAGGAGTGAGCCTCCACCGCCCAGCAAGAACAAAGGTCCTGTTAAATCTGAGAGGCCAGAACTGCTTCCAAACAAGACCTGAAGGAGTTGTTTTTAAGTAGCCCTGGTTGCAATTTGTCTCATGTCTTTGACATCACTAGAAAGAATTTCATTGTTGCCCTTTGTAACCTGCATTTTGATTTTAGTTATATTGTATTTTGCCTGCATGTGTCCATGCCCAGCAACTACAGAATCCACAGGAAACCAAGAGAGGCTGGGGAGTGGCTTTACAGCAAATGGTTAGCTACAATGTGGTTTCTGGGAATGGAACCTGATCCTCTGCAACAACAGCCATGCCTCTTAACTGTTCAGCCATCTCTCAGCCCTTCTTTTATTTAAAATTTACTTCTCTATGTTTGTGATTAAAAGGCTTTCTATTACCTCCCTCACTTTTTGCTCTCTCTGCAATCTTTGGTATATTCTTGCCTCCTGAGTTCTTTCTTGTTAACAATGTATTAGTAGGAATATAGAAAAACATGAATACAATGTTCTGAGTCCACTGTGTTTATTTTATGCGTGTGGTTTAAGGGCTGGAATATTGTGTTGGATAAAAAGTGAGGGAGCTCATTTCTATGTGAGACTAATTTTTCTCACCTGAAGGAGAGGAGATTTCCACTTTTTAATGAGTCTCAGGTGTCT